GGCGGCGTTCGGCGAAAATTTCAAGATCGGCGGCGGCGGAATCGGTGCATGATAATTTACCGGCGGCGGCGGCGTGGCGCGGCGGTGCAAGGGTCTAATCACGAAGCGCCGTTAGCGCAATCCTTCGTCAAAGACGCCAACTGTACAAGAATACATTGCCATTATTGCATGTGTGTTGTGTATATATACGTGTAGCATAATACCACTATATTCTACGCATGTGTTGTATACATATATAGCGGTAAAGGGGACGACAACGACGATGATGATGATGATGATGGTGACGTTTCTTACATGAAAAATTTCCACATTGCGACTTTGCTTCGTAATATTTTTGCTTTATAGAACATGCAAAGCGAAAATAAAGACACTTTCCTTATATAAATCGAACCCAAGCTATCGATTAAGCTTATCAAGAATTCGATTGGTTCAGCCGTTATTCAGATCTGGTAATCTAAGGTACTCTCAACTATCCGACTCGCGTATAGATACCCGGGGTGCCTCGCTGTTACTAAGCGCGGTCTTTGCTTCGCGTGACTTGGCGCGAAACACTACTGTGTCTCTTGATACTTTGTATTTTGCAAAAAAACATTTAAAATTTTAAGTTTTTACAAAAAGCAGTGATATCCCACTAAAAAAACTTTACAAAGGTAAAAAAAGGACGCCAAGTACATAAAAAATATCCTTTGTACGTAACAAAAAGTTTAAAAAAATATTTACCTCTAAAAAATAATTATTTAAAAAATTTTTTCCTAAAAAATAAAAAACACCTAAAAAATAAAAACTAAATATGAAATCAATAGTTAACTAGCCAAGTACTTAGAAGCAATTCAATTTGTGAGGACTTGTAATTTGAAATAGTATTTGTCATAAAATCAATCTTGCATTTATAGATATTTTATAGATTCTCTCGAGAAAATTAAAATGTATTTTATTTTTATTAAAAAATTACATTATTATGTTCCAAGTAAATATTTTGTGTAATATATAAAATGACGCTATTATGTTGCAGATTTTATTACAAATAGTAAATCATAAAATTATTTAAGAGGATGCCGGAGCGACGGGCGAACTCCGACGGGTGAACGCCCTCATCTAAGTGTAACTAAAAGTGTCGGTATATTACCAACGCTTTATAGTTACATTACCGATATCATTACGTAGAGTAATTGTCAAGGATATGTGCATACTTTGGAAAGAGCAATAAAATACAAGCTTTTCGCATTGTGTTAAATATGTAGAGACAGAAAATATGTTGGATTTCTACTCTATTTCTGTTCTATCGTCTCGTAGAAGCAACGACTTTACACAGATATCTGTTTGTGTCGCGTACCACACTTAGTCTTTCAAAAACGGAAGTTTCTTTAAATTTCTTCTGGAATAATTGTTTTTTAATAACCAGAATATTCATGCACAAACCCCATATGATATGAAATATTTTTTAAACCAACCAGCACACGAATAAAAATCGCCAATGGGATAAAATATTTTTTTAATAACCAGAGTGCACATGCAAACCGCTTCTGGAATAAAATATTTTTTAAACCAACCAGCACACGAATAAAAATCGCCTCTGGGATAAAATATTTTTTTAATAACCAGAGCGCACATGCAAAACGCATTTGGGGGGAAATATTTTTTTCGACAACCAATTCACGAATTGATCGCTTCTAGGATACATTCTTCGACCAAAGCGTACATGCAAAACGTTTTTGGTGGGAAATATTTCTTTCGACAACCAGTTCACGAATTGATCGCTTCTGGGATATATTCTTCAACAAAAGCGCACATGCAAAACGCATTTGGTGGGAAATATTTTTTTCAACAACCAGATCACAAATTGATCGCTTCTGGGATATATTCTTCAACAAGATAATATATAACACATATATAGTATGCTCGGATAAGAAAAAGATGGACAGAGAAGAATGGGCAAAGAGAGAAAGAAAATATCACCTAAAAAAACCTCACGAAGGTAAAAAAAAATACGCCAAGTATATAAAAAAATCCCAACTTGTACGCAAAGAGTTTATTATTTATCTCTAGAAAATAACTTTTAAAAAAAATTTTCCTTGAAAAATAATTTTCATACAAAATAAAAAACTAAAAAATGGTTTTCCTCTAAAAAATAAAAACCTTTAAAAAATCAAAAATCAAAACTAAATATGAAATCAAGTTAACTAGCCAAGTACATAGAAGCAGTTCAGTTTGTAAGAGTTTGTAATTTAAAATAGTATTTGTTTGATAAAATCAGTCTTGCATTTATAGAAATATTATAGACTCTCTCGAGAAAATTAAAATGCATTTTATTTTTATAAAATTACGCTATTATGTCCCCCCCCCCTCCAGTTTCCCCCTTCTCCCGAATCCTGGCACCGGCGAGCCTTGATCCGCGGCGTACGGGAAAGGTGAACCGTTACAATAATATAATATAGTTTTTTATTCATGTAGAATATCTAATAAGGACCATTCTTCAACTGTATGATGTTACAGTAATGCAAAAGTGAATGAATTTGTAGATATAGTTAAATTTAGCTACTTTACGCAATATTTTATTGCCTATATAAGATTCAATAAAATTAACAAATGCCAATTCTACATAAATAAAACTGTACTGTCTTATTGTGAGGTAATATAACACAAAGTGCCATAGAGGATTCCAAACAAGGAATATATAAATTAAAATATAAATGAACATTATCAGAGAGATCACTGACATTAGTATATTTTTGATAAAATTTGTAAGAATTTACAAGTTTTATTAAAGTTGAAAAACTGCATCCTCTCTTCCAGCTCCTGTTCATTATTTCACAACTATATAATTATAATTTAAATTGATTTTTGCTATTCATGTTTCATAAATTCCAAGCTATTCAATACATTGATTACTTTTGAAAATATATAAAAAACTTTATTTTGTTAAATTTTACATTACATTTAAGTATTCGGTTCATTTGTTCTGTGATTGATAATGGCTGCGTTTTGATATTTATTGTCAGTACTGAAAATTTATAATTTACATTACATACACTATAGATTTTCAGTACTGACAGTGAATATCGAAATGCAGCATACATATGCTTTATGTTTATTACATTTAAGTATTTTTTAAGTATTTGGTTCATTTTTGCAGTTTGATAATCATTTTCTTCAACAAACTGTTCTTGAAATCTTTCGTTGTTTGCTTCTCGTTAGAGATGGACAAGCTCTCCTTTATCTCTTTGCTACTGACCAATTATATATTTCTCGCTACTGACCAATCGCTTCCCTGTATCTGTATGCAAAGAAAAGAACAGAATTGTAATATTTAATTTAGTTTACATATCTGATTTACATATCTGATTATTTTCAATCTACTTACCGATAATACTAAATGCAGCTACTCACCAATTGTACATTTCCATCATTGTAGTAATGTACTTGTACTTTGAGGCTACCTCTCAATACAGCGTTGCAGTTTGATAATTATTTTCATTTTCTTCGACAAACTGTTCTTCAAATCTTTCGCTGTTTTCTTCTCGTTAGAAATGGACAGGCTCTCCTTTACTTCTTTACTACTGACCAATTGTACATTTCCATCTTTGTATTTCTTGCTTCCCTCTATCTGTATGCAAACAAAAGAACAGAATTGTAATATTTAATTTAGTTTACATATCTGATTTACATATCTGATTATTTTCAATCTACTTACCGATAATACTAAATGCAGCTACTCGCCAATTGTACATTTCCATCTTCGTAGTAATGTACTTGTACTTTGAGGCTACCTCTCAATTCAGCGTTGCAGTTTGATAATCATTTTCATTTTCTTCGACAAACTGTTCTTCAAATCTTTCGCTGTTTTCTTCTCGTTAGAAATGGACAGGCTCTCCTTTACTTCTTTACTACTAACCAATCGTACATTTCCATCTTTGTATTTCTCGCTTTCCTCTATCTGTATGCAAACAAAAGAACAGAATTGTAATATTTAATTTAGTTTACATATCTAGTTTTATATGTGCTACTCAATATTTTATATGTGCTAATTAATTGTACTTACTGTCTGTTACTGCCAAATCTCTATAATCCAATATGTTACGCTGTTTAGCAAAGCTCTTCAGCTAGCATTGCATACGGTATAAGATTGTATGCAATTCCAGCTGAAGAAATCCCAGCTATAAAAGTATACCGGTCTTCTCGAAAAGATTGATTTCGCTTTATCCTGCAAATAAGCGCTATAATTTAGATAATATTCAGATATAATCATTCAGATATAATCAAGAAATATACTTATAAAACAATAAATAAACATGTATAAGCAGATATATATAAAAAATTTCAATCTACTTACTCGATAGAACCAAATATATTTTCTTATGAGGAATTTTAATCGAAAGTTTATTAGACGTAAAACTCCAGATAAGCTACTTGGTAGCGTCGCGGCCCTTGTACATAGGCAACCCGTTGACAAGCCGAAACGTTTTTTTATATACTTGGCGTCGCGACGCTACCGCGTCACTTGATGAGTGTAACTGAGCAAGTGTCTGTACAAGTGCCAAAAGTAAGAAAAAAAGAGTAAATAGTTATATCTTTCTCCGTAGCAATACTTTATGCTCACTAATGTTTAGTGAGCTCTCCGTCTCCGTCTCCGTCTCCGTCTCCGTCTCCGTCTCCGTCTCCGTCTCCGTCTCCTTTTCCGTCTCCGTCTCCGTCTCCGTCTCCGTCTCCGTCTCCGTCTCCGTCTCCGTCTCCGTCTCCGTCTCCGTCTCCGTCTCCGTCTCCGTCTCCTGTCCTCTCCTCTCCTCTCCCCCCTCTCCCACTCCTTCTTTCTCTCTCTCAAAAAAAAAATTTGGAATATTATATTTTTATATAATATTACATTATCATATTTATATTTTTGTGTAGACTGAACGGAAATAAAATTAAATAATATTTAGCAACATATTAGTATATAGTATACATTAAAACAATTCTTTCTAAAATTATGGTATATAAATATACTAATCTTTTGACCCTTATTCTTTTTAAAGAAAGTTCCCACACGGAACAAAAACCTCTAATGGATGTCCAGTAGACGTCCATCATGGAGATTTGAAACTTCTATTAGATTGCCATTTTCTTCCAATTAATTTAATTTGATTTTAATCTATTGAGCCATTATATATATTTTTGCCTCTATTAGATGTCCATGTAATCTCCTATAGACATCTACTAAACATCCACAATTCCGCATTTTTTACTTCCATTCGACATCCATTAGACGTATTCATAGATGTCATATGGTATAATCATGGATATTTCATGGAGCTTTGATGGATGAATAATAGCCTTCAAGGCATACCAATATCCCAATAAAGTCACATCTTAAATTGTAAGACGGTAACATTCCACGAAGATTAATAAACCTGCCATCAACTTCCCAGCGACATGAAAATGTTCGTCCAAACACTCCAAACTCATTCCATTAACATCCCAGAAACTTTGCGCGTAACGTTGTATTAATATTCAAACAACATCCCACAAAACTCCTAATATTATTTTTCATAAGGAACTCTTGCAAAAAAATATTATGTTGCCAAAAATTGATTAAATACTTATTTTTTCAATAGCTTTCAATCATTTTTTCACTAATAATTGAATAGTTCAAACTTTTTTCTTTTTATATAGAATCCCGCAGAAAATCCGAAAAATTAAATAAAAGGAGCTTTTTATTAGTGTGTTTCTGGAAATATAAGATATGTGTATATTGTTGCATCCCTGGATTATGCCCGTCTTCGAGAGATCGTCTCTAAGCACGTTGCCGGGGAGTTTGCTGTTAAACAACGGCGGACATGTTGTTTTGGGTCGCCATCTGAGTTTCGTGACAGATGTCAATCCGCGCGGACGTGTTTAAGATTATTAACGATATTCTCTGTTCTCTATTTCTGCGAATAGTTATATAGTTCTGTTTCATTTAGTTTCGTGACGGATGTCAATCCGCGCGGACGTGTTTAAGATTATTAACGATATTCTCTGTTCTCTATTTCTGTGAATAGTTATATAGTTCTGTTTCATTAAAGTTCTTGTTCTTTCATAACTAAGAGTTATTATTTACGACGCGGAGTGTGAGTGCCGGTTGTGTCTTGCGTGATTCGATTTATCTCGATTCCGATCCGCGGACGCAACATTTTGGGAGCTCGTCCGGAATCGAGCTGGACAACGTAACAATTTTGAAATAGCGCAAAACGAGCTATGGCGTCGGAACAGCAACAAGATCTTACATCTGGGATTGTGACGCGGAAACGAGCTGCGACTCCGCTTCGAACTTCTCCAGAAGCGGCAGCATCAGGACCGACATTAGAGGCGATCACACTCCAATCTCCGTTGCGGGAGATTTGGCAGCTCCGAAAGGAGTGGTTACAGCAGCAAGCTGATTATGAGGCGCAGCTGCAACAGCGTGTGGAAATGCTCCGCAGAATGGAGGAGAGGATACGACAGCTGGATAACAACGATAGCCATAGCCAGTTAAGTCATTCTTATAATAGAGATAATAGTGAGGGGCATACTGAGCGCGGAAATTTTAACAATAGAAATAATTATTTACATACTGAACACGGAAATTTGAATTTAAATGAATGTGGTTATAAATTGAAACCCGATAACTTTGATGGAAGTGTCCCTTTGCGAGAATTCTTTACTCAATTCCATCTGATAGCTCGAGCGAGTGGATGGTCTAATTCGGTGAAAACGGTTGTTTTGGCATCATGCTTAAGGGGAAAGGCGCGTTCCGTATTGGACGGAATTTTTGAAATTGAAGATTTAAAGTTCGAAGAGTTACAATCGAGGTTAGAATTGCGTTTTGGGAAAGGATATTTAGCCCAAACATATTACACCCAGTTTTCCAATAGAAAGCAAAAAGATTCAGAGGATTTAGCGACGTTGGGCGCAGATTTAGAACGGTTGTCGCGATTTGCTTATCCCGAATGTACATAGGAAGAAAGGGATAAAATTGCTTGCGCGCAATTTATCGCGGCGCTATCAGATGGATTTATTAAGCGCACACTTCAATTGGAAAATGTAACATCTTTAAAACTGGATATAGAAAGGGCTATGGCAGTTAGAGTTACGGGAGAATATTTTTAAAAGGGGAATATTAAAACATTAATTATTATGTGTGTGATTATTATGATATTTGTTTTGTTGATAAGTGTGTTATTTTATGGATTTTTTGCGGAATTCTATGATATATTAAAGAAAAAAAAGAGTTTGAACTATTCAATGATTGGTGAAAAAACGATTGAAATCTGTTGAAAACCGATAGTGTTTAATCGATTTTTGGCAATATAATATTTTTTTGCAAGGATTCCTTATTAAAAATAATATTAGGAGATTAAGTTTTTTTTCTGCCATGTTGTATGAATATTAATAAAACGTTACGCGCAAGGTCCCTGGAATGTTAATGGAATAAATTTAGACGAATTTTCAAGTTACTAAAAGTTAATGGCAGGTTTAAACAAAAGTGTTATGGTTTCAAATGTACTTTAATATAATTTGAAAATTTTTTCAAATTATCAAAGAAAAATATTGATTGGTGGGGATATTTCGAAAAATTTAAAATCCAGATACGCCATTGTAAAGTATATTTGAAACCATAAAACTTTTGTTTAAACAATTTTTTCATATTTCTTTTTGTTTCAATAATATTCGCTTTGGAATATAAAAACCGATTTTTTTAAGGGGTTGTTTTCACCCCTGAAACCGATTTTTAGCACCAACAAAAAATCGTTTCGTTATTAGGGACTACTACTCTATAATTATGCAAAGTTTCAGATTTTTTTGAATTTTCGCGTTGCCGAAGGTTCCTTGTAAGTACTACATTGGCCAAACATGGTCATTCCTTTAAAGAACGGAACGACTGTAATTGGACAATATAATATTTAGAACGTATTAAAGTATATTAGTGTAAACTAGGGAAATGTGTTTTTTTACATTTGATTATTTTACATTAAAATTTGAAACAACGTATATAATGTCTGTTTTTTTTTCGATGCATTGGAATATTTTACAAATGATTAAATGTTTTTTTACTGCACTAGAATATTTTGCATTAATATCTATATGTTACTTTTCTATGCACTGAAGTATTTTGCATTAATTTCTATCCACTGGAACATTCTGGAACATTAATGCCAATTTTTTTTTACACATTATATGTTTACTTTATACACTCGTTTTCTTATGCATTAAATTAATATTTTAATTACAATAATATTTTAATACACACTGGAATATTAATGTTTATTTTTCTACGCATTATATTTATTTTTCATTTATTTTCATATTGTTTATATTCATATTATAATCATCCTACTTTTCCATATCAGATATACTCTCAGCGTCTTAAGATTCATATTGCAAAACAGCTTCTTCATCGCTGTCTAATTTATCCTCATTTTGTTCTAATGTACTTTCAATCTCTTCATCTTTCATAATTTCTGCAGAGCTTTTGTTGATTAAAACTTTATAATATTACGTTAATAAATCTATATTATTTATGTTAGAGTTTAAGTTTTCGCGCGCTTAGCGGCCTTACCAAATGTTCGACTCACGAATCTGACACATGCGCGTGGCGCACATAGTGCAATAGGGAAAAGGCATCCCCACTCATGTACACTAGTAATAAACGATCTCTCTACGAAATAACATGCGTGTCTCTACGCTTTACAAAGAAAACCTTTTCATCGCATACTTCTTTTAATAGTTTATCCCTAACAGATTAACTCTAATAACGCAACAATTTATACAACATGTAGAGTTAAAATAAAAACAATTCTTTTGTTAAAATACTTTTACAATATTTTTGATTGATTTGTTTGCGCTCTACAATTGCCAATTCCTAATTATATTTTATTACTTTTAAAATATTTTTTATATTATACACTCAAGCTGTTGATTAAACTTATTAGAAATTTAATTGCTTTACATGTTATTAAAATAATATATAGTAAAAAAAGAATGATAAAATCTTTAAAAACTTACCTTTTTTAAAAACATAAAGAAAGGCGCAAAGTGCACGCGCCAGTTGTGAAAAACTGTTATATGTTTTTATAAAACAATATTACTTTAATTTAATCTGCATAAAATAATGCTATTATAAATTATTGAAAATAAAAACTTATACAAATATTTTAAGAAAAAAAGGGGTACAAATATATTCTACGAAAATAATGATATACAAAATTGCGCCAACAGAAAAAAAATTTGTCATAAATTTTTTTTATTTTATTATTTCTAATATTAAGAAAAATTATATTTAATAAATCGCAATATAATTAAAGTAGTAGGGCGTAAAGCTAAATAGAGTTATTTTGTAATTAACTAAATGCACAATATATACACATCTAACGCTTTGGGATATATCTATTGAAAAAAAGTTTCTTGTAAACTCTAAGTCGCATAAAACAAACTTACACTAAAGCAAAGTATAAAAACTTGGCGTGCCCAGGTCGCATTAAAACATATTGTCCCAGATTTATTTGCATTAAGACGTGTACATTTTATAAATATATGTATACATCTATTCCGCGTTAATAATTTCTTTTCACTTTATCACTTCTCTTCGTTGTTGCATTATTCCGCGATACTCTTATCACTTTTCGTCTTTTCGTTCTATTATTCCGCGATATATACTCTTATAATTATTATTATATGTTACATTATTATCTTATACATATGCACGTATATACACAGCATTATCTCTTAAGGCGTATTTGCACACTAAAACGAATAATCGTACATGAGCGCTGCAAACGCGACTTGAGGGACAAAATCGCTTTGCATGTGTGCGTGCGAGCATACATACGTGAGAGTCTGAATTCACCATGAAAATCAAATAGTCGCCAATTTTCACTATGATATTCGTAATCAGCGCATCAAAATACGTAAGAATACTGAGTTTAAAAAAATCAGGGGTAAGTACTTTTCGGAACTTTATCCATCAAAGAGCCAAAATTAGGAGATTTTTTCACTCTTATGGACAATCTGAACAATCATCCAAATTTTCAAAAATCACTGAGAAAGAGAAAGAGCTAAGCGACAGTATGACTATCTGGTTTTGTAGAGATCTCATCCCGTTTTTTGAAGCTGAAAAAGATGGGCTAAAAGATTTTTTTAAAATACATGGTGTTGTACAAAATGAATTGGATCTGTCACATCCAAGTACATTATCTCGTCATGTACTTTCAAGGGTATATAATGATTGTGATTATGATGTATTTGCTGTTAAAACGAAAATAAATGAAGATAATCCAAGTGCAATTTCGCTAACCATGGATGCGTGGACTGACAATTATCGTCATATTCCATTTATGACTTTCACTTTACATTGGATATCGCCCACAGAAACACAGTTGAGATCAGGTACATTACAAACAAGCTTCTTATCACATCCTCATACAGCAGATAATATTGTTGAAGACTTGAAAAAAGTACTAACACCATTTAACTTAAACGACAAAATTATAACTCTCGTAACTGATGGAGGAACAAATATGATTAAAGCTGCAAAAGTTATGAAAATTGACAGAGTACCTTGTATTGCACATGGACTCCATAATTTAGTGATGGTAGACACCATTTCTAAATTACCAGACGTTAATAGTCTTATAGCTAAAGCTAGAGATATTATGAAAATTCTTGCTTTTAAAACTCATGATATTGAAAAAGCAAAAGAAATTACTCAGCAACAGGACATTAATAACATATTAGACAGTGCTGAAAATCTGGAAGAGATTTTAGAAGCTGATGCAAGATTTGATTTCACACTTTCCAAAAATAATAATGAGCATCCGTATGCTCAGAGTTTTCCTTCATTTGTGACAGGATTTTTAGCAGGATTACATAAAGATATATCAACTAGATGGAACAGTACATTAGAGATGTTGTCAAGTTTACTTAAAAATAAAGGTTGGCTGAGTTGTGTGCTAATGCATGTAAAATTTATATCTATCTGAATTTGAATGAATTGGCATTATAAAAGTTTATGAAATATTATTTATAATAAATTTTTCTATTTTACCGTAAAAAATTATGTTTGAGTTAATAATATAAATATATTACTAAAGAATTTTGTAACTTATGGCAATTAATATTTTCCATTTTTAATATATGGTAACCGAATAATTTACATTGGACATCGTGAAGCGAGGGGAGGATTTAAGGCGGCAGGAGGCACGAACCAAGCATCCATCTCTTCCGGCAGCGGCACTGTCGTGTCTGTGTAGGGCGTTTACACACTTCCTCAGTCCGACAAATAATTGTTAGAAAACAACATTTGCGGGTCTGAAAAAATATGCGAGATACGAGTGGCTGAATCGGGAATCGAACCCGAATCTTTCGCTTTGCGGGCAACTGCCTCCAGAGCGATGTTGGAATCTCGCTCCATGGATGCAGTGCCGATTGCCACGGAGAGACGACATCCCCAGCACGTCTCCAGAGCGGTCCAATCATGATATGATAACTGAGGATGATATGATAACTGAGATAACTTAAATTGATTAAATTAAGAAAATATTTCTTTATCGCATAATTGTAAGTCTACCATTTTACAAATAATAATATCCGAAATCTTATGTATTAATAGTTTTTTTATTTAAATGTTATAATGATTTATTTTTTAGAGGTAGTGATACGCTGTTTGGAAATGAATAGACGTTATGATGCAATTCCTACAGATAATGAATGGAAAGAAATCGAAGGTGTAGCAGCCTACACAGAAATTAATGTATATTAGATATCTACTGGATGTTCTCAATGTGCATTAGGGATATCCATGAATATGTAGAAAACAGCTATTAGACATGCTTTAAATATCCAAATGTCCGCAATACGAGATCTTATAAATATCCACAGGATATGTAGGCCAATATCCACTGGACATCCACATCAGTATTCAGTGGATATTTTTGTAGATATTCAGTGGATATTTATGTAGATATCCCATTGTATGTTAGTTAAATCTTGGTCACAAAACTAATTAAATATTATAAAAGTTAGGTCTCATGAGACCCGCACATAACTTTTATCGATATGTCTCATTCACGGGACATCATTTTCTGACGTTTGTTTGACGGCAAAACTAAGATTAATTACAGTAATAATATATAATATATAATAACACACATTAATGTAATATATATTATAGGTAAATTTATATAATTTAATATATAAAATTAAAGATTTTATTTGTATGGAAGTTAATTTCTATTTTATATTTTCAATAATTTAAATAAGTCAATAACGAACGATTTTTGCTTATTCGGACAGAAATTATTCTCCTCGCTAGTTATTTGAGAGATATAGATATTTTATTCATCTATTAGATGTCTAATAGTTATCTATAGTAGACATGGATATAAAATAAATATGTAGCTATTCACTAGATATCTATTCGATATTTTATTCTGTGTGGGAGACTGCTTAATAAGTATTAAAACAGCAACAGAAATTCTTTCAGGAGTAGAATATCCAACAACCAATCTTGCACTTTTATTTAGATTTGTAACATATTTTTGAATGAATATAAAAATTCAAAATTAAGAACAATAATCATAAAATAATCATAAAATATGTATTGATGTAATGTTCTCACTCAAGTTTAATGCAGCTTTTTATATTTTAACATCACTAATTTATTCTACATCATAAATTTAAAAAGACTGAATGCTACTATATCAATTCCTTTTTTAATCTTTCCAGGGCAGAAATTGAGAGTAGCATGTATATAAATGAAGATGATTCATCCATAGTAAAGCAACTTAAAGAAACTATTTTATAAAATATAAAAAAGCGATTTCCAATTCATGAAACTCATGTTTGCCGAGCACTTCTGGATCCGACTCTTCAAAATGTTAGAGGTGTTGCAGAATATCTCGCAGACAAACAGTAATTTCCTGTAGAATTTTTAAAGTATATGATCCACAAACTAGTTCCTTTGGACATTATAAATGAGCAGGTTAGATTATTTTTATATTTTAGTTTTAAATTAGATAATATATAAAAAAATATTTTTACTAATAAAACTTATTGTCCGACCAAGTGACACTGTTGTTATATAAAATGAGAAATATAATTATTTCAGTCTCTCCCTCCCTCCCCCCTACCCCTCTCTCTGTCTCTCTTCCTAATATATATACTGCAAAGCCGTAATTATAGCTACGCAGACAAATATATAAATTGCAAAGCCATAATTATAGCTACGCAGACAAATATATAAACTGTATAGCCATAATTATAGCTACACAGGCAAATATATAAACTGTATAGCCATAATTATAGCTACACAGGCAAATATATAAACTGTATAGCCATAATTATAGCTACACAGGCAAATATATAAACTGTATAGCCATAATTATAGCTACACAGGCAAATATATAAACTGTATAGCCATAATTATAGCTACACAGGCAAATATATAAACTGTATAGCCATAATTATAGCTACACAGGCAAATATATAAACTGTATAGCCATAATTATAGCTACGTAAACAAATATATAAAATGCAAAGCCAGATAGAAAGTGAAACACTAATAAAATAAAAAGTGAAACATTAATAAATAACACCATAGAGAAGCTTTCTCTCTCACAATACTAATTATTGACACTTTGATATATGACAGGTTGAGGTTATGTGTAATGTTTATTCCCACCATTATCACTTCGAGATGTCCTCAGTAAGTTACTAAAGTTCCCTATGCAGATGCTCAGAACGAATCTTATTGGTGAATCATTTTGCTTCTTAGATACACTCGGCAGCCAATGAGAGGACGCGTAGACGAGACCATATTGTTTTTTCACTTTTTATTAACAACATAAATTACGATAATTATACGCTTTAAACCTTCCTTGGTTAATAAGAAGCTTTTGAGCAAAAGATGATATCAAACTATGTAGTAGTTATTGAGAACTAAAACCATAACCGATCCGAGCTCGGTGAAACGCATACTCCCTCCGTTTTTTGCCAACCTGCGGTTGGCAGCAGTCGGGAGTAATAAAATGAGAAATATAATTAAATATTTTTTGAATAATGTGTCTACATTTGGTCACATACTATATAAAAATTAATGCATTCTTTCACTTTCAATAGAAAAATTAGTGTATAGTATAAAAGTGCATTTTGTTCATTAAGCTATACTTTTATTACAATTTTTATAAACTATAATCAATATCAAGCAATATCTAATTAGCAATAGATAATTTACAATATACAATATCTAGGCTTACAAAATCTAGGTTTAATATTTTGTAATTATATAAGTATTATTATATAGTTTGTATTTGCAATAGCTTTTATAATCACCATATATTACAAGATTATTGTTTTTATAATATAGTTAGATTCTCATGTTTAGTTTTGCTTTTTTACAATAGACATCTAATAAAGAAGGAGATAATTATTCTAATAAGTCGTGTCAGCTTCTTGGAATTAAAAAATTACGATTAGAGTTGGCTGCAAAACATACAAACATTATTCCTCATGAAGATCCTATTCTTATTGAAATTAAGAAATATTTACATATATCTGAATCTATTGAAGATCCTCTACAATGGTGGAATAAAATGAAGTTATCACTACCAAATTTGTACAAATTGGTATGTTGCATTTATGGCATACCGATTACAAGTTTAACGTAACGAGTAACATTTTTTTCTGCAGGTTTACTTATTACAGCAAAGCGTTCTGCGTTAAAACCATCAAAAACTAATAAAATATTATTTATTCACGATAACTTCAAGTTAATAAAAAATATATATTTAAAGTCACAAAAATAGACATAAGTTACGCAATTTAATATGAAAAGAAATTTTTATATGTAAGAAGTCTGATAGAATAAATTATATTTTATTTTTTTTACATATGATGGTCAGTAATAATATTTTGAATTAAATTCTATGCTATTTTGTTGTAAGAAAAGAAATTAGCAATGCAAGTAATTGTATTTTAAAAACAAAAGTGCTGTGTGTTTTATATATCATATATATGAAATCTAAAAATCTTAATATAATGTATAACTATATACTTTGTTTATGTATAATGTTTATTTTTGTTTATATTATCAAAAGTTGAAATTGAAATTTATTCTATGTTCGAAGAATTTAATTTTAACTTTCTGTGTCGATTCCAATAATTTCAGTTTTTTATTTAACAACAGTATATTGTGATATATTGATATATATTATGCTAAAATTTAAAAAAGTATAATAAAATATATATGTTTCAATATAAAACAGATAAGATATATTTATATTTTTTTCAAAATTTCCCAATATTATGTATCGATACTAATTGTAAGGATCACTTTTAATTATTAATTAGCTTACAGACCGATAACAGAATTTCAAAATCTATATTATATTACATACTAAAATTATATTGTTAAAAATTTTTTATGTTGTATTGTAAGTTAATCAACGATTAAGTTAATCCAAGTTTGATTGAAGTAGTTCTAAATCTATTGAATTATGTTGAAGTTTGATTTTTTTATTATAAAAAAATGTATTAACGCCGCCCTTCGCCACCGCCGCCGATAAATTATCATTCGCCGATTCCGCAGCCGCCAAAAAAGTAAATTTTCGGCGAACTCGCCGCCACCAAGATATTTTACCTCTAACGCCGCCGCCGATATGAAATATAACGGCGCAGGGGTCTAGTCTGAACCTTATGAAGAAAAATGAAATGTCACATTTCTGGTATACGATTATCATTCCTCAGGATTGACTGCACCAATTTTATTCAAACTGGTCGCAATCGAAAGCTTGCATTCACATTGTATCAGAAAAGTGTCGTTAGATTTTTGATGACGGCTTTAGTTTCTGAGGTATTTTAATCGAAAGTTTATTAGACGTAAAACCCCGGATAAACTACTTGGTAGCGCCGCGGCCCCTGTACATCGGCAAAACTGTTGACAAGCCGGAAAAAATTTTTTATATACTTGGCGTCGCGATGCTACCGCGTCGCTTGATACTTCTTCCTCACGCAAATTTTTGAATATACATCAATTTGTATAATACAAATAAATGGGTATGATGCAAAATACTATATTATCAAGAAATATCAAAAACAAATTCTTCTCTATGCTTAAACAAGACACCTAAATTTTAAATATTTAAGTCTTGGAAATCTTCAAAGTTCTCAGGCCAAAGTTTTCCTTGTAAATCAGTTCCTTGATGATATTTCCTACATTCCTTTCGTTTGATGAGACAATACAAATAGTCTCTAATAATATAGTAGATCCCGAGATTAAGCAAAACATATAAAAAAATGT